TCTCCAGTAATGTCCCGTACTCAAACAAATGTGTGCTTATTGTATTCCTAGGGTCACATATGGTACAGCTTAAATAAGGTTGAATATCCCTTATCTAAAACACTTGGGACTGGAAGTGGTTCCAAACTTGGGGGTAGGGGGTGGGGATTTTGGAATATTTGCATAGACTTTACTGGCTAAGAATTCCTAATTCCCAAAATTCCCAAATCCAAAATGTTTTGAGCATTACGTCAGTGCTCAAAAAGTTTCAGGTTTCAGTTTTTGGATGTGTGGATGAGGGGTGCTTAATCAGTAAATAGCTATACATTGGTCTATTTAGATTAGATTTTGCCACCAAATGAGTTTGATGAAAACTAACCAAATTCAGACCCTTATGGATTGTGGCCTTCTATAAGAATTTATTTTTAGGAGAAATCTCCCCCTTTGGGGAGCCAACATCATGCGTGTGCTTGGGGCAGAGCTGGCTAGGAATTTAAATAATTGGGAAATTGCTCTGTTTCTCAAAGACAACAGGCTCAGATGTCTTCTTGCCCAGGGGTAAGATCTAGCTGAGCTGGGTGCTAGAGAAGATCAATAGGAGTTTGCCAGGTAGAAAAGCAAGAGAGTGTGTAAACCATGGTTGACTGGAATGCCAATGCACCCCTTCTCAGAAAAGTATTTTCAAATGAGTAAAATAGAACAGGTCAGGTGACCATGGAAGCAAATTATATGGAAATGCAGTTAAAATATTTTAATAGCAATACACTAATATCTGTGCAAACATTGGTGATTTCTGTTGGTGGCAAAGTTACAGAAAGTGCTAAAATACTGTGTTTTATTACCTACATTCAAAATGGAAGGAGATGCTACATTTCAGCTAGGGCTAGAGAGAACAATGATATAATTCCTCCCTCCAAAGCTCACTCCAGACTTCTCCCACAGACTGCAGACAGCAGGTCCAGAACCCCAGGCTAGGCACAGACAGCCACTTAAGGCTAGGCTGAGGCAGGAGGATGGAGACTGCCTTCTAGGAGAGCTGGCACAGGGAGAGGAAGGGCTGGGGAGACAGGGTTATGGGGAGATTAGACCTGTGGATTTTACTTGTCATCAGAAGAAAAATTTTTATTATGCCATGATATTCCTTACAATATGTTATAAAATGAATACATGCCTATTGTAGAAAGTGAAGAAACAAAAAAAAGAAGAAAATCACTCAATGTCCCAACAGCTGAGACAGTCTCCACTAGCATCTCAATTAATTGCCATTTGCTGTGGAATCTGTGTTTAAAGAACGGGTCCCAGGGGCAGCGGGGCAAGCTGCTGAATCTTCACCTGCTCTTTAGTATTTGTGTCTTTAAAATGAGGATGACAGTAATAGTACCAATTTCATCAGGTTGCTTTCAGAATTAAATAAGTCAATTCCTGAGAAGTGCTCTGAATGGACTGTAATTAGCGTTCAATAAATGCTGGCTTTAATTACCTCTTCTTCCAGTCATTCCACAACGCACAATATTAGCTGCATTTTCTTAGTTGTAGCTTTTGCATAGATATACATATAATTTTATGTCTTGCTTCTTTCTTTTAATATTATTGCATAAATATTTTTAATACTATTATAAACTGTTCATATGCATTTAAATGCTTAAATAATATTCCATTTGGGCATATGACCCCCACTTTATAGAACTGCTCCCTTATGACTAGACATTTCATTTATTTCCAGTTTTCCGTGGGGAGTGTTAAGCAGGCCTCAGTGTGGTTCACGATGATGTTTTGGCACAAAACTCTGAGTTGAACCCTGTGCTCAATATGGAGGATACTGAAGCAAATAAGACAAGAGTGCTGTCTTGGGGAGCATGACAATTGATGTTTTGGGATTATAATTTGCCTCACAGCTTGGAGAAAGGTTTGGAGATGAAGAATCTTGGAGACAGAGAACTCCAGACAGACAGGTGACTGGCCAGATATGGGGGCAATGGGATAGGAAGGGAGGAGGCAAGGACCACTCTCAGGTCAGATGGGCAGAATCTGTCTCTGACTCAACAGCGAGTGAATGGATTTAGTGAAAAAAGGCTGGGAAGTATTAAGGGTGAATATGGCTTTGACCTTGAGGAGCTAAGGGTAGTGGCAAGATTAAGAGCATGGGTTTTGATGCCAAGTATATCTACAAGGTAAAATCCAGTTCTACTATGTAGCACCGGTGCGAGCTTGAATGCGTTACTTGCATTCTCTAAGCCTTCATTTCCCCACCTGTAAAGTGGGGATAAAACAGAATCTTCCTGGTGAAAGTGTAAGATCAAATTAGATTATGAAAAGCATATTGCAAAATTACGTAGCGGGGATAATAATGGCTGTGTAGCACTGAAGTACCATTACTGAGCACTTTGTATGTATTAATTCTCCTTAATATTCACAACAACTTTACAGGAGAGGTGCTTTTAGCATCCTGGTTTTATAGGCAAGTAAACACTCCAGAGAGACTCAGTAACTCAATTAATGTCTTGTAGCTAGTAAGCGACAGTAGTGACATCCAGAACTAAACAGTCTGGCATCAGAGTCTATCACAGTCCAAAGACTGGGCTGCACTCAGCCATCTTGACTGCAAGATGCCAGAGGGAAGGCCCTGTGGCCACATCAGCAGGTGGTTGAAACTTGATTTTGTAACCCAGGACATAGGTTAGAGTGTAGGATCATGTGGACAGAGTTGAGGCAAGGATGGGATTGCCCAGGTAGCATGTGAGGTATGGGTAAAACCTGAATTTAGTGGGTGGGAGAGAGAAAAGCAAAGGAAAAGGTGTTCAGAGAACAGGAGGAGAGTCAGGACTAGACAGTGTTATGAAATCAGAGCAATGCAATCAGCACATCAAAAGCTGCAAGGAGAGAGCTGGATGAGAACCAGTGACAGGTCATGGTGACCTTGGAGAAAGCAGACTCAGTGGAACAAGGTGGGCAGGGATATGTCAGAGAAGAGTTGGGTGGAAGGAATGGCTGCTGGGAAGTGACACAGACAAAAAAAGGCATCTGGGAGAACTCAGACTGGGCAGAGTCAGGAGACTTGAACCCAAAGGCTAGCTGTGCCCTTGATTAGCTGTGTAACCTAACGTGTGTCCCCTGATATCTCTAGGATAGCATTTCCCTACTGGTAAGATGAGGTTAGACTCCTCTCTGAGGCTGTTATAGGGATTTGCTGGGATGATGGATTTAAAGCACCTAACAGGCAGTAAGAGCTAAGCTGGCTGCGATCACAGGACGTCACTCACGTGAAATAGCTTGAGCTTTGCAGAGGCTCTTCAGAGATAAGGTCTAGTCATGGAGACTTCTGCCACTGGGGATGCTTCTTAAACTTAGCACTGCTGAGTCCCCCTGGGGTGCCTTCTGCCCACAACCTCTCAGCCAGCTGAGGTCCAGGAGCCAGTGGGGACCCTACAGAATTGTGGGCTGAGATATCACAGAGGCCTGTACTTCATATGGTAAACTGTAAGTGTGGAATTTGAACCCTGGTATTCTGCCATGTCACCTGTGCCCTATGCAGGTGATCTCTTGACTGTGATGGGCTGTGGTTGGGACTCTCACCAGGAGAAGGAGCATCCAGGCTGTAGGTGTAGCTTTGCGGTTGCCTCTACCAGTCACCTTGTACTCATCCCTCACATGCAGTGGCCTGACCTGGGAAATGGCTCTGCCTGGTCCTAATGAGAAAAGAAAAATGTGTGTGGAGTTCAGATTCTGTTTTTACAGACAAGGACTTTACATCATGCAATGGGAACATCAGTGCATTTTCTAGGGGCGTCACCTCGGTTCTGGTATCTAGTATATGCACAGAGAATGAGCTGATGCTGTCTCTTTGAGCCCTCCTCTTCTCCCACCCGTCCTTTCTCACACTCTAGCATTTTAAAATCATAATACTCTCTTCCTCCTCTGACCACATCTCATTCATTCATTCATGCATTCACTCATGAATGTGAACTGGGTTCCTACTATCAAGAAAACATTGTACTAGATACTGAGGAAATGACAGGTGGCAGTTTAGTCATGCATGTGACTCTGTTCATGCTTGGAAGTGGTTTGAAATCTAGTGAGAGGATAACTCTAAACAACAAACCAAAGTAGACCTGGTTACAAGCATCTTAGAACAGAAGCACCAAACAGGGAGCTTGGGAGCCCCAGGTAGGGTTAATTCCACCTTAAAGGAATCCAGAAAAGTCTAAGGAGAAGTGGGCATGTATGGTGGCCCTTGGTAGATGAGTGAGTGTCCAGAGTCATGAAGGGGAGGGTGCCTGCCCAGATGAGGAAGTGCAAGGTTACAGGCATGCTGGCTGTCAGAACAGTCCCTGATACATGTAGGGAAGGACTGAGCCAGGCTCTGGGGCAAGGTGGATGGAGGTGCTGTGACAGATGTGGCCCCTCTCTGTCTGTCATGCTTTATCTGTGCTTCCCATTTCATCTTTCCCATCTCCTCCTCCTCACCGCCCCCCACCACACACTCCCTTTGATTTCAACAGAATCTGCCTTCTTCCTGTCTGCCAGCATCATCCTGGTTACCTTCATCCCTCACCTGTCTGGCATTCTTCCTGACTATTTTTACATCCAGAGGTGTTAAGAAGTTGAATGCTGTGGCACCTGAGCCCCATGTCCCTACAGCAGGCCCTGTCCCCACCTCCATCCCCAATTCCCTCAGGGATGTAATCTGTAGGTTCCTCCACTCTCTTCTGTCCTACTGTGAAGGCCCAGACAATTTACACACCCTGCTGCCTGTGGCTTTTTGTTGTCATAACTTGGGTCATTTCCTTATTTAATACTGTCTATAAACACCAATAAAACTGTCCTAAGCCCAGCAGTCTGGGGGGAAGAAGGGGAGACATGGATTTGGAGGGGTGGAACAGGGCTGGGGAAGGGAGTGGGCAGAAGGTGAAGGGAGGTGGGAACAATCAGAGGACTCAGGGCCACGGGCCAGGCAGGGTGCCAGCCTGAACCCCACCTGATATGTACCTCATTTCCTTTGCTGCCCCTGCTGATGGCTGCAGTGTGCCAAATCCTCCCCAAGGGAGTGGTTGCCGTCCTGGGACCATCGTCTAGCCCAGCCTCCAGCTCCATCATCAGCAACATCTGTGGGGAGAAGGAGGTGAGTGCTGGGCTGGGTTGGGGTACCTGCAAGCTGGAGCTTGTGCCCAGGACCTAAAGACATTATGGATCCTAAAGCCAGAAGGGTCCACCAAGGCTGAGCTGGTATTGTTAATAACAGCATCAGTGCAAATACGAGAAGTGGCAGTTGGTTGTGTGCTTTCTTTGTTCTCAGTGATTTGGGTGGAGAGGCCCTAGAGATGTTTTACAACAGGACTTCCAAGCTGAGTCTGAGTCTTAGGGTCCTGTGGTGGTGCCTCCAGTGGCCTCTAGGTGATGGCAAGGGAGGAAGGCTGGGGAGGCTGGTGGCTGGGAGGGAGGCTAAGAGAGCAGAAGCCAGCCCACACTGCAGGCCACGTGGGCAGCCCCATGATGATCTGTTCCTGCACTGGAATTCTAGGGAAGAATGCCTGTAGGGGAAGAAGGCAGTGTTCCATTACACTGCAAAAATAAAGTTTGAAAACCTCTGCCTTGTAAGTGCTCAAGGAAAGAGACTATTGGCACATATGAATAATAAAAGAAAAATGAAAACAAAAATAAATAAAATAAAATAAAATAAAAAAGAAAAGAGACTATTGGCATTCTTCCTCATTCACCAATTCCTGTTTATTCCGGCAGGACATTTGTCCTCAGGTGTGATCTCTAACTGGAGTCTCTTTAGTCCCAAAGTACTGAGCAGTTTCCTCTAGTTCTACTTCATGGGAGAAAAATACCACACAGGGCAAGCTTTGAACAACAGTTTCTGTCCCTTTCCCTTCCTTCTTCCCTGGAAAAATCAGACTTACAACTTCAGAGGGTCTGTCTATGACTGGCATCTTTACTAGTCCTCCCTAGAGTCCTTTCCCTGAAGACAGAATGGGCAAATGGCCCCTGAGCCCGTCTCTGGCCTGAAGGCCTTACTGAGGTCTATAGGGGAAAATGGAGCTTGGTGGTAAAGTGTGATGTTGGGAGCAGGTAAGGCAGGGAGAGGAACATGGGAGAAGGCACCGCTAGACAACCTTCTAGAAGCTTCAGTGTTAGGAGGGTCTGGCTCTTGGAAATACAGGGACACCCCTGCTAGACAGGCTGGATGCCTCCTCAATGAGCCACCCCTGGCAAGGCAGGCAGCACAGGCAGGCTTCTTCCTACCTGACATTCTCCTGGAACCGACCCCTTGGTGTCACCACCATCTCTTATGATCATGGGGCTTGGTGAATCCCCGGGGCTTTGGGCCTAATATTTATCCTTCTGTTTTATGATTCCCTTCCTATAATTGCTGTAGGAGTGCTTTGCAGCCCTAGCCCCTTCCTGAGGTCAGTCTTGCTCACCCAGTGCTGGTTGCCCACCAGTAGGCTGAGCCCAGAGTCTCCTTGCCAAGGCTGGGTCCCTGCTGATAAAACTCTGTCCCCCTCCTCTCAGATACCTGAGAAGATGCCTCCAAGGCCAGTCCAGGCCACAAAGCTGCTTTGTTCCACCACAGCCCCTTACAGCATCTCGAAGGCCTAGGCCTAGGAAGTTAGACCTGACATTTAGTTTTAATCTTTCTGCAAGTAACAGTCAAGTCTGTGACAGTTGTAGGTCATTTCTCCAGCATGGGTGCTGATGTTCACCAAGTGAGGTTGCAAAGACTTCAATCCCCTACTTTCTCTCTTTTGCTCTCTCCTTTATTTTTTTCCTCTTCTCTCCTTCCTCCTTTTCCACACTCTCTTTCCTGCCCCTTACCATTCTACCCATCACACTCCAAAATGGGGTTGTTTCATCTCAGTCTGCCTTGCATTTGAGGCCAGAGGCCGAACTGCTGTTTTGCAATGCCCCTCCCTCCCGCCACCGTGCCACAGACCAGCCAGACCACACTGCTCAGGGAGCAGCAGACGGTTACCCTTCCTTTGTCTGGTCACGTTCTTTCCAGAGCAATCTTTTCTCACTGTTCAGATTATGCATTTCTGTTAATATTTTATGAGGCTGAACAGCCTTACACTGATCCCCTGCTCTAGGGAAAAGCAATGGAGTTCTCACCATGGAGTCCAGACTTTAAACGCTACTAATGGCTCTGTGGCCCCTGTGGCTGGCTGCTTCCTGTCTCCTGCTCTCCCTCCACACCTCTGGGATGACTTCCTGGGAAGCATTCGCTATTGCAAATCGATTTTGGATTGATCTTCCTCCAGAGAGAATTGCCAGGAGGGGGCTGGGTCATTCCTGCCTGTGCCAGCAGAGCAGCTGGCTGCCTCCCAAGCAGCCTTCAAGATGGCCCTGTGCTGGAGACTCTCTGCCAACTCCCCTTCCTCTACCCTCTCTCCTGCACATACAACTCCCGAGGCCTGTAGGAACCCCTGTAAAGGGCCAGGGAAAGAGAAAAGGCATTGTCCAAGCACTTACTATGCATCAGGTACTGAGCTATTATATCCTTTGCACAAGGGGTCACATTTGATCTTCCTCAAGTTTGTCCTGTGCTTGTTTCCATTTTAATGAAGTTTAGACAGGTTAAGTGGTTTGCCCCTAAATCACACAGCTGAACTCATATGCACACCCAAGCCTACAGATGCCAAGAATCATGTCTTTTATCTTCCTCCTGTCCATGGCTAGGATCTGTGGGCTCCCAGGTACCTTGCAGAGCTCCCCACTATCAGGGTGCTAATGGGCAGTGTGCTGTGTTGGTCAGCTGCTGATGGAAGCCAGTGAGCCACACAGGGAGGCTTTGGGTCAGGGATGCTCCCATGTCTGAGCCAGCCAGACCACCCTGCCCCTCCCCAACCTTTCCCTTCTTGCTCATTTGTGACCTCTTTTCCTTTCAAGGTGCACTGGATAGTCCTTTCAGACAGATTGTGTGGAATGCAAAATGTAAACAAGAAGAAAGCCCCATTATGACAGGTGCCAGGTCAGCCCCACTCTTCAGAATCATCTCTCATAACCCATCAGGCTCTTGTCAACCTAGCACTTTGCAGTTCCCCTTGAGAAAAAAATAAGGCTGTGTTCTCTCTAGGGTACAAGGGCTAATCCAGGAATTTTCTCCTCAGTTTTTCCTAAATCTTTACTCTCTTTCCACCTCAATTTCAGAATAGCTCTGCTTTCTGGCTGACTTCTTAAAATATAAAAGGATAAGGAAGTAGAATGTTACGGAGACCATCACTCCCTCTTCCCAAACTCCTGGCAGCAAAACCTCTGGGCCAGGCCAGGCAAAGAAAACTTCTAGAAGTTTCTAGAATGGATTAGTTTCTTCTAATCCATTCTAGAAGTTTCTAGAATGGATTAGTTTCTTCTAATCCATTCTAGAAGCGAACCAACTCACCAGCAGGAAGTTGTTTCTGCTGTCTACTTTTACTCTCACTTACTTTAACATCAGTACAAATTTATGCACAGCTTTGGCTCTCCCAGCTTTGGGTACCAGGGCTGAAGGTGGCGGAATAAAATCAAGGCGGATGGCAGTTTATTACATTTTAACTTTCCTATTATCTACCAAATAGCTGAAGCCATCATTGTACCCAGAGAAGAAAGTTAGAAGGCAGAGCAGTGCCTCCCAGAAACGTCAGAGGTATATGTGGAGGGAAGCTGACATTCCTAATGAAGCCAGAGCAGAGCAGGTGTTTAGTTACCAGGCTACATCAGGAGACTTTCTGGATGGCTTTCAGGATCAGTGCTTCCCTCCCAGCAGAGCACACCTGCAAGGAACTATCCCTGTTCCCCATCTGGGGATTCACCCAGAAAGCTTGTTGGGAGCTGGTTTACATACCTGTGGGTTGGGCTGGACTGGGGGGCTCCTCTCTTAGTCCCAGTGTTTTTCTTATCCTGCCATCTCTGCTCTGATTTTATTAACTACAAATAAAATATTGTAAGGATTATACTTTCAAGATTGATTCATTTCGCTGTTCCCCTGAGAATAAAGACCTTTAGCCTTCCAAGTCACAGACCCTGGTTCCCAGACCACGGAACATTCACACAGGTCTCTGGCTGAAGAGTTGTTCTGTGTCTTGTTAGGGATATCACTGTCTTCCTCCCATAGACGGGGCACCCAGGTCCTGCATGCTGCTTTTCCAGTTGGTTCGCCAAGGTGTTCCATAAAAGAACCCATGCTCCCCAACTTGGTTCACCCATTTTGCTTCATGTCTTACTCATTCGTTCTGGATCCTCCTTGCTGCTCTTTTTTCCATCTCTGCCAGGTCCCTCATTTCAAAGTGGCCCCAGAGGAGTTTGTCAAGTTCCAGCTCCAGAGATTTACAACCCTGAACCTCCACCCCAGCAACACTGACATCAGCGTGGCTGTGGCTGGGATCCTAAATTTCTTCAACTGCACCACCGCCTGCCTCATCTGTGCCAAAGCAGAATGTAAGTTTCCCCAGGCTAATGCTGCCCCGGGCAAGCTGGTCAGTCTCCTTTATTTCCACCAGGCTTCCTGTCCTCTAGCTGGAGACACATCAGGAGGGGAGGGCGCAGATCACAGTGGTGATGTCCAACAGGTGTGGGCATTCCTACATGTCCTTAGGTGTTTGTGTGTGTGCACATGCTTGTTTGTGTGTGTGGGTATACTCGTACATGTGAGTGAAAGGGAGGCAATGCATGGCCTAGGAGCACCTTTGCCTGAATTCCTGGGTGTGCTGGAATCGAAAGGAACTAGGTCACAGAGAGACTGGCCAACTGCCAACCCTTTTTGTATCTGCAAACTCAATTCCCACATTTTCAGCCTCATTGTTAAGGAGATACAAAGAGAGAGAGAGAGAAAGAGAGAGAGAGGGAAAATACCAAATTGAATGCATTTGTACTTGATGGGTTGAAGAGTTTCTTCCCCTGGAGAGCAGGTTTTGCTGATGGAACCAGGTCCAAGGTCAATTCCTGATAAAGCATTTTTTGCAAATGCAGGTTTGGGAAGTGTGTTTTCTCTGACTCTCAGACAATTTGTGACATAAATTTGGTGTTTATGAGATTTAGGTAATTTAAACCAGCACCTCCCAGCAAACCTGACATCTGTACACTCCTGGTGGCAGCTGTGTACCCACACACAGTCAGTTAGCAGGTGCCGGCTGTCCACTGGCAAACACTTGGGACTCAGTGCCTGAGGTAAGCATCTGTGGTCTGCATGGCTCACTTGTGTAGGTCTTACCCTGCAGGTCTTGGTGGGCCATGCTGGCAAAGATGCCATCCATCAGGGCTCCTTTTCTTGACTTCTCAGACTGCTCTACATTCTTAAGTCCTCCCTCCTTCCTGGGATCCTGACAGCATCCAAAAACAAAGGCCACCTCCCTGTCCTAGGTCAGAACCACCTACTTTACCAGAAATTTGCACCTGACTGCCTCCACAGGTGTGTTGTATTGAGTATTCCCTCTGTGCTACTCAAGAAACAAAGCAACTGAATATCTACTGCATATGCTGCATATTTTGCCTTATTTTGTTATTTTAGCCCCCCTCCCAGTGGTTTGAGAGGCACTCATTTTAAAGTTGAGGGAGTGGAGACACAGAGAGATGCAGTGACTTGCCCAGGATCCCACAACTTCAGCAGCAGGGCTCAAATTTAAATGCACATCATTTCATGACAAAACCTGTGGTATTTCCAGAGCCCTGGAGAGGATATAGAAAAGATAGGACCCTGCCCTCAATGTGGACAACACTGAGAAGTGTGTTAAATCTCACCATGTGTAATGTGATTTGTGAAGGAATGGTCCCCTAGCACAGGGGTGCTAGGAAGGCTTTGGGACCAGGACAGGGCTTTAAATGGGTCTTGAAGGATGAAAAAGATTTAGATAAATGGAGAAGAGAGAGAGATGCATACCTGAGGAAGATAAAGAGGAAAGGAGGGATCCTACCTAGAAAGTAGTCAGTTCAGTTGAGAGTCTATATTAGTTAAAGATGGAAGAAAAAAAAAAAAAAAACTGGGGAAGGGAGCAGGCCCATGATTGGCAGGAAGGGAGCATAAGCTTGGTTCTGGTTCAACTGAGGGACCTTAAAGTTCTGTCCCCCAGGCATGTCCTCAGAGAAAAGGCCATTGTAATCATGGGTCTGTGCTTGGGGAACAACTGGCTTGGAGAATGCGAAAAGGGGCATGGGAGCTGGAAAGCTTGAATTGGACCCAAGTTGCTGGGGCCCCTCAGATTTGGAGAGAATGCTGGCTTGCCTTTTTCAAAAGACAGTTTCTGAGAGGGACCAGCCAATGGGGCATGTGTCAGAACACACCAGTCCTCAGAGGAACCAGCTAGTGCGGCATGAGTCCAAGCACACCAGTCCTTTCCCTGTCTACCAGCTGGCATTTATTGAGCCTCTCCTATGTGCCAGGCACCATGTTAAGCTCTGTGTGACATAGAAAAGAACAACACAGCAAGTTCTCAGAGGTTGCACAGAGGCGCCTTGTGTAAGAACAAGTGGGGCCTATGGGGAGGACACAATTAAAACAGTGAGATGAGGAGTCTAGGCCCCTAGGGAATGGGGGTGTGCTGAGTTCTCAGGCCAGGATGGCAAAGGAGGAGGTTCAGCAAGCACTCGGTGAACAGACTCCAACCCTTTTGTTTACTTGCCCACGGTCCCATAACTAGTAAGTGGTAGAACTGGGATTTGAACCTAGATTCTCTGGATCATAGTCCCAATGCCTTATCACCATTATGCCAGTATTTCTCAAACTTGGTTCCTCTGGGTTTGTGTTGACTAAGGCAATAGTCCCAAGTCACTTGTGACCATTTAGACTTAAATCTGAATTCATTAAAACTAAATAAAATTTAAAATTCAGTTTTGCATTCTCACTAGCCACATTTAGGGTGCCCAATAGCCCTGTATGGCTTCCAGCTGCTGCCCAGACACATAGCCCTCGATCTGCACAAACAACCCCACAGTGGTGACTTGAGGTGAGCTCTACCTGGCAGGGACAGTGAGTGCCTTCAAAGGACAGAGTCCTTTGTATCCCCAGAGTCCCTGGAGGTACAGGGTGGCTGTACAGGATGTCCAGGCACAAGAGAGCCTGGGAACCTCAGCAGCCTCACCCCACTGCTGTGCTCAGAGAGCTTCCCACCAAGCCTGCTGAGACTACACTCCACGCACCAGGGCCAGGGGAAGGAAGGTCGGACAGAGTGGGAGAAGTTTAAGGGCAAAGAAGATTTAAAATCTCATCAAAGGTGCAGAAAATGAGAGCTAAAGGGAAAGGCACTCAGAGCTGGGAAGGAGACATTGCCATCTTCCTTATTAATGCAGGACCAAAAGACACTGCAAGAGAATTAGGGGCAAGAGTCTAATTCTATTTTCCTGCCACAAGAATTAGGCACAACAGAGATCATTCCATAGGGAATCATGCCACTTACTCTCCAGCTTCCCAAAAGTAGATTTTTAATAAGCAGGGTTTGGACCAAGTAGAGATATGCTGTGCATTACATTATTTTTCTTTGATGAGAAAAAATCAGAACATTTGCAAGTGTCCTTTGCTAAGGAGTCTGAGAAAAGGAGATGGGGTGAGTGCCCCCAGGCATGGCTGGCCTGGTTGTCCCCATGGAGCCTGAGGGATTTGGATGATTGGTGGCTTCCAAGGAGCTGGGACTCCTCTATTGCCCCCAGGCCCCATTTGGTGGGATCTCCCCACCCTGCCACTTGGAGCTACCAACTAGATCTCAGGGTGGACATAGAGTTACAATGTGACATGGTCACAATGTAACATGTCCTGTGTTTCCCTTGCTGTCTTTGTGGTTCAAATCTTACCGTTTTCATTGTTTGCTTTGGTGTTTCTACATATTTTAAGTCCTTTTTGTGGCTAAGAACCCTGTGTCCTCACATCTTGTGCCACTTATTTACTACCTCTGTGGTTTCGGGGAAGTGATTTCACTTCTCCCTGCCTCAGTTGTCTTTTCTATAAAACGGTACCTCACTCCCAGGATGGCTGGAGGGTTAAATAGGATGACACAGACAGAGTAAATGCTACAGTGTCCTTCAGAGGAAAACACTCGGCACATACAGGCTGTCTTCTTGGATCACCTTTGAATGAGGCCTGGCCAGGACCTGGAGCAAGATGGAGCTGGGATTCACCTTTGGTGCTTCTGCCTTGCTATGTTCACTGAACACAGTCCAGGTGTTGGAGAGGAGCAGATTTGATCTCAAGCAAGTTTCTACTCTCAGGGAGGAAGTGCTTCCCAAGAGGAAGAGGCAGGAAGGTGGAGTAAGAAGAGAACCATCTTTGGAGTCAACCCATGTTGCTCCATCACTTAGAAGCTATGTGACATTGAACGGGTCACTCCATCTCTCTGAGCCTCTGCTCATTGCCGTGTAAGATGGAGACGATAATGTCCATTGGGGTAACTGGGTGGGAAACTCACCGGGCCCAGAACATCATACACGGCATAATTGCCATTGTTTTGCTCTGCAACCCTGGCAGAGGCACTGTGGGTAGAGAGTAGGGCAGAAGGTAATGATAGATGCCCAGGGCCCTGTGTGAGTAGGGCATTAGTAGGCCATCCCCATGCTGCCCCCAGGAGGCACTGTGATGCAAAATTAACCATGTATCAGCACACTGATACTTGGGAGGTGGCAGTGACATTGGTGAGCATCTACTCTGTGCTAAACACTGTGATGAGTGTTTTTATAGGATCTCATTTAAATTTTAAATTCTCCAGTCTTGGGTTCTATCCCTAGCCACCAAAAAAAATGTTAAACCTCTAATTTAAACCATATGAGTCACAATGACCATGTAAGATGGACTGTATTGTCATTGTCATTATATGCATGAAGAAAGAAGAGGTGAATTTTCAAGGTCACTTGGTTCCCAACCTCCGTGTCTACCTTATTCTGATCCCTGTGGAAGAGACAGGGGTGAGGGCCATCTGTCCTATGTTGTGGAAGAACTTGAATGGTGAAATGGGAGACCAGGCCTTGGCAATGGAAACCTGGGTTTGGGTCCTGGCCTGTTCCAGGTCCTGGTCTGTTCCATGTCCTCTCGCTCTGTGACCTTGGGCCCTGACCCTCTCCCTTCAGAGGCTATGTCTTTACTCCGGAATCATGCTGATATATCCCTTCCAAGGCAATGGTTGCAATGGTGAGGACCAAGTCAACCAGGAGTGTGGAGTAGCTGAGGAAACAACTGTGGGTAGTCTTAGGGATGGGGGAGGGGCGGGAAATACTGCTGCCCAAGCTGGAAGCACTCACCCTGAAATTAGGAGGCCAGGTCCTTCCCAGGCCCATCCTTGCCGTCCATCTGAGAAGGGGCAGCCTCAGCCCCTCCATCCCTTCTGTTTTTCCCAGCCCAAATAATTCTGCCATTCCCTGCTCATTCTCAGGGCCAAGTCCAGATGTGAGATGGGACAAAACAGAGAGCAGGTGAAACACACTATTACATCATTCCAGCACTTGAACTTGTTCTGTGCCCC